AAAAAAAAAAAAAAATAATAAATAAACAAATAAATTATTAATTCGGCATTTTTTTTTCTCAATTCTCTCCATTTTCTCCACAATCCACAATCCACAATCCACAATCAATAATTAAACAATATTACAATTTTTAATTCTAATATAAAGTAAATAATGCGGTATGCATAGTAAGGTATGTAATAGTTAAGCCCTTTTATCAAAAAGTAATAAATTATTTTTTTTGATATCGTAATTTACCTTTAACAGAATTAGAGTTCATTTAAAAAATGTGTGAACGCATTGAACATTTGAAACGCCCTATTTTTTATTATAAAAAAAAAAATCATCAATCAATCAAATGGACAATCAAATCTATTATTATGCATAAATAATTAATCTGCATTCGATCCAATAATAATAAAAAAAAAAAAAAAAATTTTTTTTTTTTTTTTTTTTTCCTAAAAAAAACTTGTTTGGAAATAATAAATAATTTTTTTGTAAATAACTTTTTTGGTATTTTGGTAATTTTTTTAATCAACAAAAATGATTTTACAATCAAAGAACAATATACACTATGACATAACAGAACATATAAAAGACAATTATGATATTATTAACATTATATAATTATTAAAAAAAAATAAACAAATAAACATTATCTGAACAACATTATCTGAACAACAACATTATCTGAATAATAAACATTATATTATATACATTATATTATATACACTTTACTATATACACATTATATACACATTATATACACACTTATATACACAGTATATAAACAGTATATATAAACCATATAAACCCGTATCCACAAAAAAAAATCATTATCTTTTATTATCATCATTATAGATAAGACAAGATATCTTGAGATCTACATCATAATATATATCAACATTGATTCTTTTGCATACATTACATACTATCAATACATACAGAAAAGTATCATTTACATATCATTTACATAATTTACATACAAAAAAGTAACATAATTTTTATATGTTTTCGCGTATTTATTTATTTATTATTGTTATCGTATTTGCGTATTTGCAGCGTTCTTATTTATTTCTAGATTTCGTTTTTTTTAAAAAAATTTAGTAGACATAGTAAACATAGTAAGCATGGTAAGCATGGTAAGCATATAGTAAACATAGTAGTAGTAAACATAGTAAACATACATAGTAAACATAGTAAACATACATAGTAAACATAGTAAACATACATAGTAAACATAGTAAATATACATAGTAAACATACATAGTAAACATAATATAGTAAACATAGTAACATGACATAGTAAACATATAGTAACAACCTAACAGGTAAACATAAAAACAATTACATCTAAATCTTGACCTTTTACCGACTTTACCGAATCTTACATTTTAATTTAAATGCATTCTGTCCTTATTTAGGTTTGAAGGCTTATTTATGAGAGATGTTTACGGAGACATGTCAAAATTGTGTCAAAAAAAAAAAAAAAACAATTATTATATTTTAAGGAAATTACTTTATTTACCATCTAAAGTATAGAATCTTTTAAGTTTATGCTTTTTTTTTTTTTGTTGAACCGCGTAAATAAAACCCTAAAAATTCTTATATAAATCCGCAGTGAAAATAATATAATATTTATGTTATTTATATTATTTATATGTAAATATTTGTCCCCATTTGGTTAGAATCATTTAAAAAAAAGGATTTTAAAAAAGAAAAGAATGCACAACATGAGACCACCTGATTAGAACCGAGTCAAAAGATTACAGAAATATCCGAAAATCCGAATATATTAATGTATAAATAAAACTTGTTTAAATTCTGGTTTTTTTTGTCTTGCGTCAAACTAACTTTTCGAGTAATCAATGAATGATTTTTTCTTTGTTGCATAATCTTTTATCAAAAATATCCTATCAAAGTAATAGAAAAAAAAAAATTTTTTTTTT